CCTTCTTTCTAGTACTGGGGATTGAACCCAGGGCCTTTGCACTGAGCTGTGTCCCCCATTCTGCTCCTTTTAGGTTTTTCGTTTGTGTGTTTGTTTGTTTTAGGTTACTAGTGGGAATGGTTTATTGAGAAAGAAAGGACACATTCAAGAAGGGAATACAGGTGCTCAAAGCAATGAGGCACGTGCAGTTGGGAGCTGGGTAATAGGAATGGGAAACAGAAAAAGCTCCTGAGACACAGGAGGGGTTCCGAATGGGTTGTCCCCTTTTTAGTTTTTTGAGACAGACTCTCACTATGTAGGTTAGATTGGCCTTGAACTCGGTATGTAGCCAGACTGGCCTCTAACTCATCTCATGGTGATCCTCCTGCCTCAGCCGCCTTAGTGCTGGGATTACAGGTGTGTGCTACCACACCTGGCCTTCCCAAGCCCCTTTGTATATTTTATTTATTTATTTAGGTATCAAACTCAGATCCTTGGGCTTAAAAGGCAGGCAGCAGAACCACTGAGCTAAATCCCCAGCCCCTATACATTTTATTTTCACTTTATTGGTATGTGTTTGCAGTACATAATGATTATGTTCATTGTGGGGAGTTGTCATATGTACATAACACATTTTTTTTTTTTTTTTGGTACCAGGGATCAAACTCTGGTCCTTGCAATTTTGAGGCAGGCAGTATAACCACTGAGCTAAATCCCTGGCCCTACATAAGACATATTAATTCTATGTTCTGACTTTCTATTTTGAGACAGGGTCTCACCAAATCACTGAGTTGCCCAGCCTGGGACTGAAGTTGTGACCCTCCTGCCTCAGCCTCTCAGAGTTTTGGGACCACAGGTGTATTCCACCATACCCAGCTCAGCAGCCAGTTTTCTAGCATTTGACACAGCTGACCCTTTGGTGCTCCTTGAAACACTTGCCTCACTTGATATTGGAGATGACACTGGGTTTTCCTTCTGCCTTGCCGGCTGTGACTTGTCCTTTCTGCTAACCCCTCCCTAACTTCCTAACCTCCCAAGCTGCACTGCATGCACGCCCTGGGGCTCAGCTGAGGAGCTCACCACTAGTCCGGCCTCACGCTCCTCTGGTGATCTCATCCAGACTCATGGCTTTAAATACCACCCCTCTGCTGATGACAACCGAATGTGTTTCTGCAGCCCAGACCTCTCCCCGGAGGACCAGTTTCGCTCATGTTTTGCCCTCCCTCTCCAGCCCTTCTTGATAACTCAGGATGTCTCACAGATGCCCCAAACTTAAAAGTCCCAAACCAGGCTCCTGTTGTTCCCCCCAAAACCTCCTCCTCCCCCAGTTTATTTTATGGCACCTCTATTCTTCCAGCTGCTGAGGGCACTGGCGTCATCTCAGATTCTTTTCTTACTTTAAGCCCCGCCCCATGTCTAATCTCTCAGTAAATCCTTTCAGCTTTATCTTCAAAAAATATCCCAAATCCAATCACTTTTACTGTCTCCACCTCTGTCACCTTGATCCAGCTGCTGCCTGTTCTTATCAGAGACCCCTGTTCACATTCTTTGTTCCCCTTTAGTCTTTTTTTTTTTTTTTTTGTACCAAGGATTGAACTCAGGTCCTTGCACTTGCAAAGCAAGCAGCGGAACCAGAACTACCCCGGGCCCTTCTTTAGTTTTTTCTTAACACAACAGTCACAGTGATTTTGTTTAAAAATAAGTCAGATCACGTTGGTCCTCTGATCAAATCCTCTGAAGATTCTCCAGCTCATGGAGAGGAAACGTCAGGCTTGGCAGGATTCGCCCTCCCTCTCCAGCCCTCTGCCCTCTCCTGTCTTGGGGCTTGGCACTTGCTGTTCTCACTTGATCTTAGCCAAAAGGCCGAGAAGTGATAGCACTTGCTGTTCTCTTTGCTGGCAAGTCGCTACCCCCAGATTCTGCTGGCCTCATCCCTCACTTCCTTCACATCTTTACTCCAACGTCACTTCACAGTGAAGTGTCCCCTGATTTCCTTATTTAAAACTACAAACTATAATAGAAGTACTCAGCTTTCCAATAAAATATATTATCTTAAATGCAGGGCCTTCTCACTGAGCTACATCCTAGTTTTTGTTTGTTTGTTTGTTTTAAATTTTAAGACAGGGTCTCATTAAGTCGAACTGGGCTCAAACTTACAATCCTCCTGCCTCAGCCTCTTAGACTTCTGGAATTACAGGCCTGTGCCACCATGCCCAATTCCCAGTAGTATTTTTTCTTTCCCACTCTATTTTTCTTTGAAAGTACTAACCCTGTTTGTTTGTTTGTTTAGAGACTAGACACAGTGTCTTGCTGAGTTGCCCAGACTGATCCTGAACTCCTGAGCTCAAGCCATCCTCATGCTTCAGCCTCCTGAGTAGCTGGGACTACAGGTGGGCACTACTGTACCTAGCTCATTAACTGCAGTTTAATGTTCTCTCCCACTACTAGACTGTAATCTCCAGGAAGGCACACATTTTGTCTATTTTACTAGTTGTTCTGTTTCTAGGGCCAACAGAGCCCAGCACATAGGTGTTCCGTAAACATTTGAGGAATGAAGACATGAATGAGCTCTGCCCTGGAAGGTAGTATCGCCGTCTCGCCTGGGTGATTTCAAAGTCCTGCTTCACCACAACCATTCCCACTTTGCTCTCCACTGAGCATTTCTCCTAAATACAGATCTCATCAGGGTATTTTCCACCACTTGAAACCTCTTGTGTTTTCTAAAGATAAGGGCTAGAACCCAACCTACAAGTCTCATCCTCACCCCACTGTGCCATACATCTTAAATTTTTCTCCAACTCTGTTCCCTCTTGCTTTCCAAACTCCAGCCTCACTGACTTTTAAAAATTTTGATGACCGCATCAGCTCCTTCCTGCCACAGCACCTTGATACAAGTCCTTCTTGGTTACTCCTGTTTACCCTTTAGGTCTTCGTTTAGCTGTCCTTTCCTCAGGAGGCCTTTCCTGGCTTCTGCGATCAGGATGAATTTCTTCATTACATATGGTTATGGTGTCACGTGGTTTGTTTGAAGCTTGGTCACTGTTACAGCTTCCTCATGTGGTTCTTTCCTCCTCCTAAACTGGGGCAGCACTGGAAGGCCTTGTCTGCTCTGCTCACCACTGCCTCACAAGGAGCCACATCATCCAGCACATGGAGACAGTCACAGATGCTACTGAGTGAGAGCAAAGTGTCAGGAGGCCACCCTGGCCTAAAGCAAGAGCACATGAAGGGAAATTTTACTAAAGATCCACATGGTAATTTATTGTAAAGGGATAAGCTCTTGAAGAGAAGCAAAGAAATTCCATCTTAATAGAGTTTGGGCAGCTTCCTGGTGTAAGGCGCTCAGGTAGAAGTTAATAAAAATAATACTGTGTTTACTTCAGCAGTTGAAAAAGAAAAAGTTCTCATGAGGCAACAGGACATTTGGAACTCCTCTGTGACCTGGCAGACTATCGACATTGAATACAAACATCTCTTCAGAATTACGCCAACCCTGAAGAAAAATCACTGGTACAGTGTAATCTAGAACAAATTGTATGACGCCAAGTTGATTCCTTGATTATCTATATGGTATGGTTGAGTGCCTTCTGATTATCCCTTTTCAATTATCAGGGGTGATCCTTCGCTTCCTTAATTTTATCTTATTTTTGGTCTATGCCAGATTGTGAGGCTTTAGCCACTGCCAGTTTTATTTTGCTATATTGCTATCTACCAGAAGTGTTTGCTAAGAACTGGATAAGAGACAGATAGTTTGTATTTCTTTCTTGGCACAAAGAGCATTGGTAGGGCAAAGGTCCAGGAGCTGGTGACATTGTTGGGTCAGAGAGTTCTGTCTTCCTAGGATCCCCAAAGGGGACTGGACCTGGGAATGTGCTTAAAGATGGGCCCTGTCCCTCAGGGGGCCTGTCACGTCTTGGGTGCCGACCTCCCCACTCCACTCTCTGGAGCTGGCAGTGCTTTCCTCCTGTCTCTCCCTCCTCAAGCGCCAAAGACTCTTGCCACAGTCCTCACTGCATTTTGATAACTCAGTCTGCTTTTCAGTCTGCCTGCCACCAGTCCCCAGCAGTGCCACAACTCATTCAGAGACAAGATTGTCTCCTAGGCCCTTTTGCATCCTCAGGGCATCACACAGTACCTGCCTGGCACCAATTAGGAGACCTGTAACAATGTGTACAATGCGTGCGTGGATGGGTAAAAAGCAGAGTTTGACCCCCCCAAGGGCTGCAAGGCCCAGAGAGAGACAACATGTTGGGTGTGGAATCTAAAACCTAAACATGGCAATCCTATCAGAGCTCTGCATGTCCCCTGCCAGCACCTAAACCCAGAAAGGGAAACAAACTATTTAAGTCCTATCATAGATCTGACACTTTCCCTTATCTCATTTGGTCCGTATGACAACCCTAAAGAGAAAGTATCACCAATGGCACACTTTACAGGTGAAAAAGTTAAATGGATTGTTCATGTCGGTGTCAGAGGTAGGACCCTGTATGGTATGACAAAATCCTTATGTCATGCTCTTTCTGGTGGGCGGTCACATCACCTAGCCCTGAGGCTCCCACAGGCTCCTGATGAAGGTGATGTAAGTGATGTGGTGATTCCCTAGGGAGGTTTCCCCCACAAAAGCAAAGGGTACAGGTGGGGCAGGCAGGCACTGAGCTCAGAGCACAAGAATGCAGGGAAGGCAGGCTCCTGCCCAGGCTGGCCATTAAGAGGCCGGAAGTGAGGATGAAGTCTGGGCTGGAGTGTAGGGAGACACCCACCTCCAAGGAAGATCAAAGGAGTGCCCAGGTGAGAGCTGGGGTGGGTACTGGACGGGGTACACAGGGCACCCCAGGAGCACAGCATGGCAGAAGCAGAGGCACGAGGCAGTGAGAGGAGATAGCTTTCCAAGGTGACAACATTAGAACAGACAAATAAAGGCAGGGAGGCAGACACAGGGGCAAGACACACAGTGAGACAGAAACGTACACACACTGAAGAGACCAAGAGGTACCAGACAACGTAGACAGGGCCTACACATTGTTTTGTGTCTCAAGACACTCCCTATTGACCCCACCACAGGAAAGACTCCTTCGAATTCAGAACTCCACAAAGACACACATATGCATGGGTACAGGCAACTCACACAAGCACACAGAGATCCAATGTCCGCCATACATGCTCCTTTAGTCCACTGCATTACTTGGACCCTGAGACAATTCAGTTAACAACAGCAAAAGCTTAAGCTCGTGTCAGCCCCAGCTAAACACTTTAAACTCATTAGTTTGTTTAGTCTTTCTTTTCTTTTGGTTTTTGAGACAGGATCTCACTATGTAGTTGAGACTGACCTGGAACTCACTATGTAGCCCAGGCTGGTCTGAAACTCACAGCGATCCTCCTGCCTCAGCCTCCCGAGTGGTGGGATTACAGGCGTGCGCCACAACGCCCGGCAGTTTGTTTAGTCTTTGACACAATCCTATGAGGTAAATATTATTATCTTACTTTCCAAATCAAGGAACAGATTCAGAAAGATTAAGACACTTGCTTAAGCTACAGAACTGGTGAATAATGAAGGTGGGGTCTAGATTTGATTCTGAGTCTGTACCCTTGGTCAGCTACCCTGAAAGGACAAGTCTCCTGGTTTCCCCTCCTTCCGGAGAGATCTGGGCTGGGTGAATGGTGATAGAAGGACACAATTTGGGGGATACCCAATTTTGAGGCTGGGACAGGATGACTCTCAGGGGCAGCATTACTACCTGGCCTGGATGGAGCTAAGCAGCTTTGGGAGGATGCAGCCTGCCCCAGCAGTTAGGCTGCAAGACACTTCTGGGCTTCTGTGGATGATAAAGCCTGGAGCCCTACTAAGAACTGCAGAGCTGAAGGAGCCCAGCTGACAGCCATTGTTCCCAGCCTCCAATCAGGAGCACCCACTTCCTGTTATTTTAGGCAGCAGGAAATGACCCCATCCCAAAGCCTGGGCTCCACCATGTCCCTCCCTCCACCCCAGCAGGGCAGCTCAGGCAGAGGCCTAAATGCTGAGGGCAGAGACCCAGGGCCAGGGCCGGGCCCAGGCCCGAGAATGACCCACACTACCTAGACTGTCACCACTACCTAGGTACAGGACCTCCTTATTCAGTTTGCTCAGACTCCAACCTGGTAGGATTCACGGGGAACCCAAGGCTCTGCTGGCTCTACTTCTGCCTACCAGAGAAAAGAGCAGTGAATTCCCAAGACTGAGAAGCGCACAGGTGCCATGCATGGTGGCACATGCCTGTAATCCCAGCATTCAAGAGGCTAAAGCAGATGACTGCCTGGCTACATAGTGAGTTTCAAGGTCAGCCTGAACTATGTAGTGAGACCCTGTCTCAGGGGAAAAAAAAAAGTACCTACAGGTGACCAGCTGTGGAAGACAAACAGGCCAGACCCTGTCACTGGCTGGCTTGGTCATAATTCAGCTTAGAGATTTGGTGCACAGTCCTGATTGCAAATCCTGCCTCTGTCTGTTCTTAGCTGTGTCACTTAAGGGAAGAAACTTCAACTCTCTGGGTTGCATCTGTAAAATAGGGATAATACTAGTCCCGACTCTTAGGGTTGTCATAAGAAACAAATGAGACAGTGCACGTGATATGCTGAATATTGTGCCTGGCACAGTGTAGGTCCTTAACAATAGGAGTAGGAGGCCATATATGGAGATAAACTGGTTCACCAGGGAGTCTATGCCTGGCTCACACCTCCTCTTACAACTGGTGAGGATTGCTAATGGGGGGCAGCAATACTGTGTACCTTACCCCCTTCCAGTCTCTCTGCTTCCCTTTGAGCAGAGCTGCAGCTGAGGGGAGATGGAGGAAATACTGGAGACTGTGCCCCGGGTGCCAGGCAGAGCTACCACCAGCCAACAAAGCTGCATTATCTGAGCGTGGCTTCTTGGCTCCCTCCCTGGCCTTTACGGGTCCCAAGGACATGGTTTCCAGCTGTTTGTGGCCTCACTTCCAGGCTTGGCCAGACCTGAGACCTTCCCTTATAGCCCTCAAATGCAACCACTCTAGTCTGGTCCCTGCTTTCAGCCTTTGCCCCTTCCCTCATCCTTTCCCCACTAATAGCAGGTGCCCATCCTGGGCAGGGAGGAGGGCTAAATTGGCCTATTGTCCCTTCCTCCTCATTTGCATATACATGACTGCACACTGGGGGCTCATTAGAGGCCTCATTACTGAGCCCACCAGCCCAAGGGTGGGAGAAGTTATCAACAGAAGGTAACTGCCTTATGTATAGTTGTGGTCCATTGTACTAGTCTCACCAACTTGTACGCAAGCTTTCAGGTCCATCTCAAATGCCTCCTCCTCTGTGAAGGAGGAGCCACAAGCAGAGCCCAAAGCCACTGGATCATCATTGCACCTGGCTTTCCCTGGGCAAAGGCCCCTGAAGCAAACACATATGCTTTTGCCATGGGGCTAGGAGCTAGGGTCTCCCACAGGGGACTGCCTGACTCAGCCCCCTATGTTTAGCACAGCCAGCACCGAGGTGGCACACAGTGGGGCACCAGCATAGTGTGCAGGACAGCTGCTGCATCCGCCTCTTAGGTCTTCTCTCCCATTCCCACTGTCCTCTGTTCCTCAGATAGACCCTGGCTCATGTTTGTCCAGAACTCTGCTTCCCTGGCCCTCTGTCTTATTTACCTCCAAATGTTCTAATTCATCACATCTCCTCAGGCATCTGAAGGAATGAGGAAATAATAGCAACACAAACCAAAGCACTAGTATTTATTGAGCACTAATACCTTGCCAGGGCCTAGGCTAAGAGTTTTGTTTTTTGTTTGGTACTGGGGAGATTGAACCCTGGTGCACTCTACTACTGAGCTATACATTCCCAGACCTTTTAAATTTATTTATTCATTCATTCATTTATATTTTGAGACAAAGTCTTGCTAAGTTGACCAGGTGGGACTTGAACTTTTGTTCTCTCTGCCTAAGGGTCCTTCAGTGTAGGGTTACAGGCAGGAGCCATCATGCCTGGTTTAGGCTAAAAATTTTATGTGTTAGGAGGAGGGAGAGGAGGGGCAGGCAAAGTAAAAAGAATTAAGACATGTTATACACATGACCAACTCTTTTTTTTTTTGGTACCAGGGATCGAACTCAAGTCCTTGTACTTGCAAGGCAGGCTGCGGAACCACTGAGCTAAATTCCCAGCCCTTATGACCAACTCTTTATGATGAATGTAACCATTATATACCACAAACATGTAGTACTAAAAAATAAAAATTAAAAAAGAGACTTTTATGTGTTCACCTCAATGATCCTAATGTCTCTGGAAGATAATTTCTATCGTTATTTTCATTTTACAAGTGGGAAAATTTAAGACTTAGGTTAAGTGACTTACCAGAGTCACACAGTAGGGTTATGAAATGGAACTTACACTGTTTGATTCCACAGTCTCTACTCACTGCCTTCAACTCCCCGCCCCTGCCCTCACACATATGTCATGCCAGCCTGCTGGCATCAGTTCCAATGAGCCTAACCACAATAATGGTAATAACACTTTATTGCAGGTGTCTGGTGCCTGTGTGCCAGGTTCCTTTAAGTTCACCTCATCTCCAACCCTTGCATTAACCGCACCAGATTGATACTACCTACCCCCATTTTTCTGGGGAAGAAACTGGCTCCAAGAGGTAACTAACCACTTGCTCCAGTCCAGTAGCCGGTAAGGGTTCAACTGGGATTTCTGCCCAGGTCTTCGACTCCAAAGTTTCCCCCTACCCTACGCTGCCTCCTGTTAAGTGTTCAATGAACAAGTGTACAAAAAGGGAAAACAAAAGGGACAGGGTCATGTCCCATCACCCAGATGCTCAGGCATATGCCAAGGGCAAATGCTGGGGGTTAGGACATTTATTCCCAGGGAGCCCCCACCTCATAGGGGGCTCCTGTCACCTTCAACTTCCGTCTGTGTAAGGACTAGCTGCCATCCTGACCAGGTGCTCATGTAACGCCATCTACACCCCTGTGGTTAGAGATTCTTCCCAATCCAAAACCCTGTATGCAGACCTCACCCTCAAGTAGGCCCTCTAAGTACAGGCAAGCATCCCCTCCATGCCCTCATATCCAGTCCAACTCCCCCATTCCCTAATTATAAACTAGCCACTGCTCCAGTCCTCTACTGATCACTACTCCTCTTCAGGCCCCCATATATACACCAGTGCCACGAACCTTCAGGTGCAGAGGAGCAGTAAACAGATGGATGACCAAGCTGGGCTTTTCTGGGTGTCCCCTCTTAGGACCAGCACAGACAAGACAGACATCCTTGTTTTCAACATACCTTACAAATCTCCTGACCTCCCAGTCTGGTGGCAGCCTCCCCTAAATTCTCCCAGATCCCACACCCACATGGTCCCCTCCAAGCACCCACGCTGGCATGAGGAGGGGCCATGCCAAGTGGCCCCACCTAGTCCTGGGCTCTCTCTACACCCACAAACACTGTTTCATCCCGGGCCCACGCCCCAAGGGGGGGGAGGTGACAGGATTAGGTTTGGGATTCCACAGGGGTGTGGGGACTGAGCCACCTCCCCCCCTTAGTCAGTGGGAGCAGAACTTGGGTCCTCAGTCAGCATGCTCTTTCCTCCCCTTCCAGGAAGAAAGAGAAGAGCCCTCCTTCTAACACCAGACCCAACCAGAAACCTGTCCCCACCCCCTCATCATCTGCTCCCTCATCGAATGGGATTTGCAGAAGTCCGGGGCACTCACTGGTGGTTGGTGGGGTGAGGGGTAGGGAGGGGAGCTTCGGTGGTCTGGGGCCTGGAGATTTTGTGTGTGTGTGTGTGTGTGTGTGTGTGTGTGTGTGTGTGAGAGAGAGAGAGAGAGAGAGAGACAGACAGACAGACAGACAGACAGAGAGGTATTCAAAGCCTCAGGCTGGGGAATGATGTGGCAGGCCTTGCAAGCCTGAAAGCACCGGCCTTTGCAGCATGCGACTCAGGCCTGGGAAGCTGGGAAGGTG